AAATTTTTTTTTACTCAAACTATGTCGCAAATTACGGAATAGAACGTGATCCGGTCTTGCAATTTCATTGGTTCAATTGACGAAATTGCTCATTACTGTTACGGATAAAAGACTCGTAAGCATCAAGGGAGTTAAGAAGCTGTTGATATCTACGATGCCATATGTTGGTCTGATGAAGCATGGTACCGTTAAAACGACTATACGAAATTGTTGGACATTCTTCCTGATACCTGATACGGACGCGCGCTGGAAATTGATAGTACGGCAGCAGAAATGCAACAATACATAGCCAGCTGGGTAGGAAAGGGTAGTCCAACGTTAGAGGGGACACTATTATTTACGTTTTAACAGATCGACAAATTCAACCTTCTGCCTCCTTTCCTCTCCCACGTAACGACGACGTGACGTCTACGAATACCACAGCGATAGACTATGAAAGCACACATGCTTGAGATCGATGAACCGTTGCCGGCCGCAGAGTTTATAATGAAGTACCAATCGAACACCTTGATGATGATGATGATGATGATGATGATGACATTCTTGCAACTATACAGACGATAAGAAAGCAGTTGAACCACAACCTACATATTTCTTAATGTTGGTGCTAGAAATGTGGATAATCTATTGCAGTTGACCAATAATCATCCAAAAGAACTTCTTTTTGATCCGAAGACATTGTCAATTCGTTTACGTGTACTGAGGTCGAAAATTTCTCGTTATCCTATAGTCAATCACAGATTGACAAGTTCAGCTCTCCTCCAAAAAAAATCAAAACACTCACTGAACACCTGTAAATCAAAACATTTATTCAACTTGTCTCGCCATCATTTTCATTCAGTACACAATCTTTTTAACAGACGAATTCGTAACTGCTATAAAATAAACAATAAAGAATTAATGTAAACAAGCGTTAACTACGAATGTAGTCATTAACATAGATACTGTATGTAACAGATAATGATTATCCTACTATAATGTGGATACTAACACTCCAAATTCTTCCATTTTTACTCATCAAACTAAGAAGTCCCGCACTACGTTTGTTCCGTCTCAACGTAAAGGCTGCGTTCATTGAAATTTGATCATGATCGCGTTTTTGAAGTCTCGGTGGTATACATGACCATCCTAATCTTGCCTTATCAATGCGGGCAGCCTAGGCATAATCAAAGATATTATTAAGATAAGCATGAGCAGCTACACACATTCAATCCTTTCCCCTGTCCCTTTCCATTGCTCTTCCGAATTCCCACATGTCTTAACTTACCAAAGCTTTTATTCAATACCATAACTATTTTCGCCCGAGCCACCAATCTACGCATTTGACAAAATTTCACCTTGCTTCATATGCTTTCAAGACTTTCATCATCTACCCTCTTTGTCAACTTTCTCTTCATCATCACCAGAGCTCAATGTTATATTCGGCAAGACCTTCATCCCACGGAAATTGAACCTATCTCTGTGCGTGTCTTGGTTATTTCAAGCATTTGCTTGTGTTGTGTGTGGTATTTACAATTCTTGGGTTAGTGTCGCTGTATCATCCTCGATAATCCTAGCTTACAGCGTTTCTTGACGCCTACATATGTCGTTTCTAGATTTCATTGCGTCATCATCTTTGTTTCCACGTGTCAGTTTGCTGGACGTTGCCTCAGAACGGAATAGTGTACATTGTAGCTATTCGCGTCTACGCCCATTAAGCGCTCGTGAATCCTCTGGTCTAAAAGTTATGAACAAAGATGAGCGGTTAGCATCTGAAATAATATTTCTGATGGGAGTAATAGGAAAATTCATTTCCGTTTCGCAACTTCCTTATTATTATATGCAGCTTGCAGTTACATTTAGTATCCACTTACAGTTTAAAATATCTGCAACGCTATTAATCGGGATTTTTGAAGGAGGGAATGAAATGCCGTTAAACATTGTCTTGTACGTTTTCTTTGCGGTGTGATACCTTCTACTACTGATTCATTCACTTCACCGCCAATATGTATAGATGTTATTCTTTTGCAATATCCACCTCCTACTCCTGATTCATTGATCACATCACCAACATGTATAGATGTCATTGTTTGAGGCGTCACATCTCCTTCTATTCTTGCGGTGATTGAATCAGAAGTTGCTCCATTACTACGACAAATACTCTTCCTACTACACACGCTAGCTGTACAGCTAACTTCAGTCTATCTTTGAGATGTTTGTTCCATAAGTTGAAATACACGTCATTTTCGATTTGCATAAGTTCGTCATGCGACCCTTGCTCTACTGCCTTGCCTTGTTTAATCAGACGCACCCGATCAGCATGTACAATTGTCGAGAGGGATGAGCTAAAGATCAAAATTCTGGTAAGTAAATTACATGTCAACTTCATTCAGATAAGCAAAACAAATATATTCGCATATATTGATCTCTGTTCTTAACAATAAAATTTGCTGGGGTGAAATGCCAATATTCCTTTGCTAGATCTTTCTATTGAACGTTTGCATCGTCATTCTCCTTCCCTTACCGATTATCGATGTGGTTGCAGTATCTGTCGTAGTGACTTCTGTACGTGTTGGTATCAAGTGCCGACGTCGCTTCGTCAAGTGATATTAATTGAGGATGCTAGTGTAGAAGCACACAAAGTCAGATTATCATTACAAGTTAAGCTCGATGTTTCATTAAATAGATAATTGCCTTTACCGATCACCTAAGAATAAAAAATCAAAAACGTTCCCTATCAGCCTACGTAAAAAGAGATGTTACTTTTCAAAGATTGAATAGAATCATCTGGCTATGCTTACTAATCCCTATAATCATATCGCTATTCGCTTACCTTGCCCCTCCTGATGGACCAATAATAGCAACGGTATAAACGACACATTTTTCAAGATCGGGATTCTCTCGTCGTATGCGAAACTAACATTTTGGAACTCTATTTCTCTTTTCTCCAATTTCCAGCGGCTTAGCGCTTGCGGGTCTTCTATTTCCAACGGCTCATGCATTAAATCCGGCATCCTTTCCATATCCACGAGAATTGTTTTGTAGTTAATTGCCAAATCGTTCAATGGGTTGGTATAGTTGGAGAATGTATACAAGATACATTACAAAGTCACCGACTGTTCTCTATCTTGATAAGCAAGCAGGCCAATACGATTCGTTTAATTCCATTAGCATTTGGTCCATCCACATATAGCACACAACCCTTCGCCCGTGACGCACTCACCACGCAAACAAATCGCTAAATTCAATGCTAATTTACGGCAATTACATTGCTCGTTTATGCCAGTATTTTCAAGTGTATCTGGCGGTCAGTGACTATGGAGACGGCACTGTTTGTTTTAAATGGATAGTTCAATGTTAAGTTCATTCGATGGGTGAGGCCTAATACCGTAACCTTACTCACATAAAGAACGCGCAAAGATCCAGCCTTTGCCAGAACAACAGACCTGCCGTTAAGTATATTAGTTTATTAAATCGAAAACTTTTGTAATCAAGTGCGAAACACGCTGTCATAAATGTAAAGGAATCGGCATGTTACACGCGAAGATTTCTATTTCGCGATAATCAATTACGCTTTTCCGTTAGTACGGAATGTCTAATGCTTCTACAAATCTTTGAT